AGCACTACGCTAAACTGTGGAGTACAAGTAAAACACGTTAGCTGCATTAGCATTGTGGCTCCAGTGCAAAACTGCAGAAGCAAACTTCAGACGACACCATGTCTTCTGACAGACTACATTTGGATCATTTCTGTATAAGCCAGTCACTGAGATGTGAACTAAATCATTCAGAGTGGTTTCATATGAAAAAGTTCATTACAGGCCATCTTACTGACTTAGATTTCTTTACAGTGGTGGTGATAGGAACCAGGGGTCTACATAGCAAATAAAGCCATTTTATTTACGACCCAAAACCAGCAGTGACCCAAAAGCTACATGTTTAAGTTTTTATATGTAATGTTAATGATAGTAAAATAACAGTTGGAAAATGTGTTTTCTTTTGTGACTATTTTGCCTCACAACACCTTGCATGCACCATAAACGACACATTTCAGGCCAAAGGTATCAGGCAGCTTATTCAATTTCAAGTAATAACTTTCTGTAAAGAAGCTTGTAGAGGCATTATACCCTGCTTTTCACTTAGAAAATCAACGAAACATGTAATTTGACTACGATGCCCAAAAGTTTAAATATGATTGTACACATGAAAAACACTGTTGGGCACAGCCATACATGATTGGCCTTGCTCTCCCGCATCACCCTGCCATGATACTAGTCAATGTGAGTGTTTGTTAGCGGCTGTAACAGAATTAGCAGTTAGCATTCTCCTCCAAGCGTGTTGAGCTGTCTAATGATATTACGTTAGTGTTAGTTTGACAAGATGTGGTGGTGTGCCATGTGTCTTGGAGGCCTTTCTCCTCCCAGTTTGGTAGCGTTGTATGGGAAATCTCAGCAGTGGGTGGAATTGGACATGGCTAAATTGGGTAAACAAACAAACAAAACAAACAAAAAAAAGCATTTGGTGTGTTTATCAGGCTGAGACCAGTATGGTCAGAAATAGCCACTTATAATTACCCCAAAATGATTAAGATTCACTCTTAATGCAGTAAATGTACCAATACTTTTCTTTATTCCTTGAGAGGGCATTAACTTCTTTCTGGAGGCCGCCTAAAGGTCATGGAAGTCTTGGAAGTAATTTTGCACATTTTTAATTAATATAACAAAACGAAACATTTTCCCAGTGACTCTGTTATCAGATTAACTAGAACACTGTTGTCTCTCTGTGTGTGAAATGCTGTCACTCTGTGTTGAGCTGCTAGTGAGAAATGAGGACTGAATGGTAGGAGTGAGAACCTCCTGCGTCAAAACAAATCAGTGCCTCTTCACAAAGATGGCCATGCAGAGATAAAATAGACAGAACTGCAGCTTTCTTCATATCAGAAAACATGTACAGCAGCTACTATAAAAAAAGCAGTTAAACACAATAAAAAACATTTTTAGAATTTGATTAGTTTTGTAAATCACAGAAATGTATTCCACAAACATTAATGAAGAAGAAAAAAAGCAGAGCTCAACTGAGTGACCACCAAAACAGGTGGACAGGAGGCATTTCCTGGCCGCTGTGACCAAAAGTTAAAGAATAATCAAGTATATCCTTATAGCATCAGTATCTCTGAACTTCAGCAGGATAGAGGTCAATAAGCTATGATTATTCTTTCAGCGGGAAGCAAACAGATGACAAGAAAGCTCTCAGAAACTGAGCCATGTGAGCACAAACTGTAGACCCAATAATCCTCCCAGCGCGAAAGCAGACAGTCCAAAGATGACAACACACGGATTCCACAGGCACTCCGGCCAACTCTTAGCAGAGTTTATCGATTGAAAAATAACCTACTTACAGCAGGCAGGCACTATAATCCAGCAGACAGCAAACAATGCGGTGTCTGTGTGTGTAAACAGACAGGCAGAACAGCGTGAGACGGAGAGAAAGAGAGAGTCTTTTCGAGTAACACAACAGTCCAAGTTGAGAAAAATCCAAAAATACCAGAAATTCCACACACAGGCGAGCTACTGTAAAGAAAGCCGCCGAAAACCCGAGCTCAGCCGAACACCTGGAAGCAGTTACTCGGATTAAATACGGCATTCAAATCCTCACAAACACACACTGCGCCTTTGTAATGTTATTTCCTTAAAGAGAAATGGAGTGAGGCCTGCTGTAAATGACAGCAGTAACTGATGCTCACTGTTCTCTGCAGATCGTCACGTTAACAGTGGACTCCTGACCCGAAAAATCCAAACGGCGTAATCAAAATCATTGGTATTGAATCTACTGTCTTGATTACATTATGCTCAGAGAGGAAGTTTCCAGAGTAAAAGGCTTAAGCGCTTGTCGTGTCTGTCTAACGGCCTCATAAGAGACTCATTCTGATATTCAGTGGGTTATTTCCTGCACTGAGTTCACCATAGTTTAACTAATTTGTAAGGACATCCCATGGCACTCACACACACAGGTTTGTTTTTATACCATGTCAGGACGTCATACGTATGTATTGTATATATTGCTGCTGTCAGAACAAAACCTTTTATCTCCATTTTTCAGTTTTTGACACAATTTGAAAATGCCTGTTGCCCTTTACATTGTGTGTAAATTTCATGAAGAATGGACCAAAAGAAATGACCCGAACACCTCAGTGTCACTGCTGGACTGAGAATAGTCCACCAACCAAAAATATCCAGCCAACAGCGTCCTGTGACCACTGATGAAGGACTAGAGGATGACCAACACAAACTGTGCAGCAGGAGATGAGCTATCGTCTCTGACTTTACATCTACAAGGTGGACTGACGAGGTAGGAGTGTCTAATAGAGTGGACACAGTGTTTAAAAAGTCCAGCAGCATTGCTGTGTCTGATCCACTCGCACCAGCGCAACACACACTCACACACCACCACCACCACCACATCAGTGACACTGCAGTGCTGAGAATGATCCGCCACCTAAATAATTCCTGCTCAGTGGTGGTCCTGTGGGGGTCCTGACCATTGAAGAACAGAGTGAAAGGGGGCCAACAAAGTATACGCAGAAACAGATGGACTACAGTCTGTAATCATGTAATCAACGTGCTCCTATATGGTTAGTGGAGCTGATAAAATGGACAATGAGCGTAAATACAAGGTAGGTGTTCCTAATAAAGTGCTCAGTGAGTGTATATTAAGAGACATTCAAGCACTCACAAACTCAATATACTCTACAAGGACAAGCACTATGAACTTGCTGGCCTCTTAACTCCGCACTAACCCTAATCAGAGCCACACACTCAAATCTCTGCCATCATCCAGACTGAAGCACCTCGAATGCACTCTGTTAACCTGCTTCTTGGTGAAGTGGACGCAGGCGCGGCAGTAAACAACTAAAGGGCTACTCACAGTCCTCAAATGCACAGGGCAAAGAGGAGTTATTATTAGAAATGCTCCTAAATGTTATCCACATTCACTTCCTCGAGGCACTGTTCTCATTCTTCAGGACCGACAGCAAATGAAAAGAATCTTCTGAGGAACACAATGTGTCCACATGTAGTGAAGGCACAGTGGTGAGCGACATGAGCTGCTCAGTGTTCTTCACATGCAAAGCAGGACTTATTATTAGACATGGCACCAAATATTATCCACATTTGTTTCCTCAAAGCATAATTTTCATTTTTCTAAACAGCAGAAAACAGGAAGCATTATTTCCAAAACGGAAAGGAAGAACAGCAAAGACAGTGGAGGGAAACAGAGAACATAAAGAAACCAGCAACAAGCAAACCGGCGTTAGTGTTCTATGTGTGAAGCTTAAAGGGGTGAGCGTTGTTTTCTGAATGACTTGTTGCACATTTGGGAGTTTTGAACAACTTCAAATATGGTACCAGACATCTTTATATAAGTCTTCATCTCCAGATAACCCTTAGTAGATCTTCATATAGATCTAGCTAGGTCTACTTATAAGTTTTATTACATCTTCATATAGGCCAACTATTACTAGATCTTCACACAGATCTTACTGGATCTTCACACAGATCTTACTGGACCTTCACACAGATCTTACTGGACCTTCACACAGATCTTACTGGACCTTCACACAGATCTTATTGGATCTTCACACAGATCTTACTAGACCTTTGCACAGATCTTACTAGACCTTTGCACAGATCTTACTAGACCTTTGCACAGATCTTACTGGATCTTCGCACAGATCCCACTAGACCTTCACACAGATCCTACTCGATCTCTATACAGGCTAACTACTACTATATATTCATACAGCTCTCACCAGAACTTCATTTAGCCTAGCTCTTACTAGATCCTCTCACAGCTCTTACTAGATCTTCATACAGATCTTACTAGATCTTCAAACAGATCTTACTTGGTCTCTGTACAGGCCAACTCTTACTATATCTTTACACAGTTCTTACTAGGTCTTCACATGACTTCATATAGACCAACTCTTACTGATGTTCACATAGATCTTATTAGATCTTATATAACTCATCCTAGAGCTCAACATACTTGATCATACAGGCCAACTCTTGGTAGATCGCCATGTAACTGTAACCAGATCTCCTGGTCTGCTGTAAAATGGCCATTCACTCACTCACTAACTCAGTCACTCACTCACTGACCCTCAGAATCGTAAAGGTCTTCAAAAAACAACCGCACTGTCCAAACAGGGAGATCACTGTGAAGGCGAACTACTTCTTCTGCGACTTGACCATGGCCTGATGCACCAAACCTGCAGGAAAAAGTCCAGGTGAGCTGGGGCTCCAGCCTGGGCGCTCCGGCGCGTGCGCACTGAGTGACCAGGAAGGGACCGCGGTTTTCTGTTTGCCTATGATCCCTCTGAGAGGCAGAAAAGCGGCCGGATCTGACCGCGATTCTCTCCCGTTTCAGTGCGGAACGCTGAGCCGCGGTGTTAGAGGCGCCGCCGCGGAGCGCAGGGGGCTGAGAAACGGAGCAGAGCGGGAGACTCAACACCGGAGATCACTAGCAGCTCCAGCTAAAGCCTCCAGCGCCGATTCAGTCGCCACTCCGCGCTGCTGGACAAACACTAAAGGCTGAACTGACCGGTCCAGCCTGCGTTTCTTACCTTAACACGTCCACACGACGGCGGAACAACTTAGAGCTCCTCCAGCAGCCGCGTGTAGTCCTTAAAAACGCTCACAATCCAACAGAGAGGCGCCGCTCCTCTCTCTCTACCTCTCTCTACCTCTCTCTCTCTCCCAGCAGAGCAGAATACACTCCTACACACACACGCTCTGTATTCCCCTCGCTCTCTCTCTCCCAGCCAACCGAAACCACGACGCCCGGCACGCGCACACACACACACACACTCGCACACGTTGCAACGCGCATGCGCTCTGTGACTACGCACACATACACGCAGCGCTGTTGGTGGTAATGCATGGCTAATGAGGAATACCGCATTGTGCGCGCTGTGGAAAGTATGAGAGATATAAAATCATATATATATCACCGATCAGGCATAACATCATTATGACCACCTCCTTGTTTCTACGCTCATTGTCCATTTTATCAGCTCCACTTACTATATAGATGCACTATGTAGTTCTACAATTACAGACTGTAGTCCATCTGTTTCTCTGATACTTTGTTAGCCCCCTTTTACCCTGTTCTTCAGTGGTCAGGACCCCCATGGACCCTCACAGAGCAGGTACTATTTGGATGGTGGATCATTCTCAGCACTGCAGTAACACTGATGTGGTGGTGGTGTGTTAGTGTGTGTTGTGCTGGTACGAGCGGATCAGACACAGCAGTGCGGCTGGAGTTTTTAAACACTGTGTCCACTCACTGTCCACTCTATTAGACGCTCCTACCTTGTCAGTCCACCCTGTAGATGTAAAGTCAGAGACGACAGCTCATCTGCTGCTGCACAGTTCGTGTTGGTCATCCTCTAGTCCTTCATCAGTGGTCACAGGACGCTGTTGGCTGGGTGTTTTTGGTTGGTGGACTATTCTCAGTCCAGCAGTGACAATGAGGTGTTTAAAAACTCCAGCAGCACTGCTGTGTCTGATCCACTCAGACCAGCGCAACACACACTAACACACCACCACCACATCAGTGTTACTGCAGTGCTGAGAATGATCCACCATCCAAATAGTACCTGCTCTGTGAGGGTCCATGGGGGTCCTGACCACTGAAGAACAGGGTAAGAGGAGGCTAACAAAGTATGCAGAGAAACAGATGGACTACAGTCTGTAATTGTAGAACTACAAAGTGCACCTATATAGTAAGTGGAGCTGATAATATGGACAATGAGTGTAGAAACAAGGAGGTGGTCATAGTGCACTTGCATGTGTATGTGTTCAGGACATAAAGGAATTAATTACATACATGATGTATAAAATGCTTCTGTCATGCTGCTGTTACAGAGTTCAACTCATTTAATGGGAGCTGTGAAAAGCAGTGATGTTAGTATCTGCATCTGCAGAAGATCCTAAAATGAACGACAAAGCTGTTAAACACTGAGAATGAAGGCATCTTAAAACACCTCTGTTGTTCTGTTTTGCATCTATTCTGCACATACACGACATTCCTTGCTGTATATCCACTGTACATTTATCAATCACGCTGTAGTTTATTCACACACGTATGTGGCGGTGTAGAGCGCACCCTGGCGGTGGTTTCGTGCACTGTCACTTCTCCTCAGTGCTTCGCATTCCGAAAGCTAATGAGGAATAGAGCTGTTGATGGGGATGTTACGTAAGATCATCGCTGATATTTACCTTTCGGAGGAACTAAAGGTGTTTATTATGACGCGCGCTCGATTTCCCTTGTGATGTGTCATCATAATGACCTAATTGCTGGCCTGATTGATGATGGGCTTTAGGACACGTTGTCCTTCACCGTGTAGTTCATCCTGAGATGCCCTGGTGACTCTGAAGATGTCTTCAGTCCGGAGAATAGTCCCAGAATGGGAACATGTTCGGACGCAGCTCACTAAGGCTATTAAGGTGGACTATCCTGTATTTTTAGGCTACACTTTATGATGTTTTCTCAATAGATTTTACATAAAAATATATAAACTGTCGTTCAAAAGTTTGTCATTATTAGCAGTTTGTGTTATATATTTATATAAATATTACAAACTATTCACCAAAAGGTATTTCAGATGTTTTATTCAATATTTCAAGAACTCTGTGAGAAGTTAATAAGTGATAAATAATATATTATAACTTGAAAGGGAAAGTTCGTAAACAAACTTTAAGTGTTCTTGAAAAAGACAGCTAATTACTTTGAAATGTTAAAATGGTGGAGGACTGCTGATGTTTGCAAAAGTGTTGCTAAGATGCGGTTGCTACAGTATCCAAGGTGGTTGGTTGGGTGTTGCTAGGTGGTTCCTGTGCTATTAAATTCACTGGAATCTTAAATCCACTGCTTCCTTAAATTCACTTCCGCCTCTAATTTACTGATACCTTAAATTAATTGCCACCGTAAATCAACTAACACCTTAAATTCACTGGCACCTTAAATCAACTGATACCTTAGATTCACTGGCACCTTAAATCTCTTGCTACCCTAAAATCATTGCTACCTTAAATACACTGCTGCCTTAAAACCACTGCTCCCTTAATGCTACTGATACCTTAAATCCAATGCCTCCTTAAATTCGTTGCTACCTTAAAGGCGCTGCCACCTTAAATTCACTGCCAACTTAAATTTATTGATACCTTAAATTCACTGCCACCTTAAATTTACTGCCAACTTAAATTTATTGATGCTTTAAATTCACTGCCACCTTAAATTCAGTGCCACCTTAAAGCTAATGCCAGCTTAAATTTCAGTGCTACCTTAAACTTACTGCCACCTTAAATTTACTGAGATCTTAAATTCACTACCTTAAATTGGTTGCTACTTTAAATACACTGCTATATTAAAACCACTGCTCTCCTAATGCCACTTATGACTCCATTTCTTCGTTTTCATTAACAGCTTTCTAGTGTCCTACTAATTATCATTATAAGTTTAACAGGTGGACTGACATATTAGAATAATTTATACACTTGTTATTATTAAAATTATATTATTGAAAGCTTTAATTGCAACCAGTGAACAGTATATTTTACATGTGAGTATTAAAGGATGTATGTTTCATGCCCAGCTGTCTCTAAGCCCTGTCTCTTGCCCTGTTGTCTCTATCATTATCTAATCCCCCCGTGTCAGGAGAGAGAGGAGGACGGCCATGAACACGATGAAGACACGCTGTATTTAGATGCAGCACCTAGCATTCAGTTCCGCTACTCATGTGTCCCAAATTACATCCAATGTCTAACCGCTTTCACTGGAGGCAGTGGTATGACTGTGGTGGGCTTCCAGTGGGGCCACAAGCTGGACCACCGTCAAGTAAGGATAATGATAGATTTTAACTGTCTGAAGTTTGTTCATTTAATCCCAGCGAAGAATGAGCTCTCTGGAGTTTCTGTTCACTGTGTAATTAAATTATTGTACAATATAACCTTCTCTTCTCTTCTCTTCTCTTCTCTTCTCTTCTCTTCTCTTCTCTCTCATTTCACTCCTTTTTCTTCCCTCCTTTTTCTTCTCTTCTCTTCTCTTCTCTCTCATTTCACTCCTTTTTCTTCCCTCCTTTTTCTTCTATTCTCTTCTTGTTTCTCTTCTCTTCTCTTCTCATTTCTCATTTCACTCCTTTCCCTCCTTTCTCTTCTCTTCTCTTCTCTTCTCTTCTCTTCTCTTCTCTTCTCTTCTCTTCTTATTTCAATCCTTTTTCCTTCCCTCCTTGTTTTCTTTTTACTCTTCTCTTCTCTTCTCTTCTCTTCTCTTCTCTTCTCTTCTCTTCTCTTCTCACACATCATTCTTCCCTCCTTTTTCTTCTTTTTACTGTTCTCTTCTTTTCTTTTTGCTTTTGCTTCTCTTGTCGTCTCATCTCTTCTCATTTCACTCCTACCTTCTTTTTTTCTTTTCTTCTCTTCTCATTTTCTGTTCTCACTTCTCTTCTCTTCTCTTCTCTTCTCTTCTCTTCTCTTCTCTTCTCTTCTCTTCTCTTCTTCCATCATCTCTGCTACTCACTTCCTCCTCTCCTCTTTCAAGATGAAAGTGTGGAAACAGAACAAAAGAGGGAAGCTCGCCTACTACAAGAGCGTTCCTATGGAAAACAACTACAAGGTTGAGAATCTCATCTTCATTCCCAGTCAGAGAGCGTTTGTAGGGGCCTGCAGTGACCTCTCGTTACGCGTGTTCTCCGGCCCGGGACAGGGCATGGTCCTCCAGTACCGGGCCATCCTGCTGGGCTCGGTGCTTTGTATGCACTACTGCAAAGACACAGAGGAGCTGCTGACTGGAGGCATAGGAATCATCACCTTTTGGGGTTTCTGGACATCCCTGGACGTTCAGCTTGGGATTGTTCGAGTGCTGGACTGGAACTGCTGTTCCCTGCGCAGTGACTCCACCGTCTGTGCTCTGGTCACCGAGCAGCAGAGCTCCACTTTGTACGCCCTATGTGATCGCAGGATCAAGAGCTTTCACCTCAAACACAAAAAGGAGCTGAGGTCATTTTGTGGACGCGGTCAGGGAAACTTGCGTTGTGTCTTGTCAAACTGGGTCCAGCGCTACCTGTACACCGGGGACATCTCAGGCTGCGTTCAGGTGTGGAGCCAGGACTCTAGGAGTCTGCTGCAGGAGTTTCATGCTCATTCCCGCTGTGTTTCTGCAATGGTGCTTCGCCCGAATACACAAACCCTGCTGACCTCGTCCCAGGATGGCTGGGTGAAAGAGTGGAGCTGCTGCGGGGAGCTGTTAGCTAAGCTGTTCTTGGACGACTCTGGAGGGGTACGTAGCATGTGGCTAATCAATGAGCACCAAATTCTCTGCCATTCGCTCTCTTCTTTTTACGTCTGGCAGCTGCAGAGCATCTACAAGCCTTTCCACAGCAGTGGATGTGGCTTGCAGTACCTTCAGCGGGTTGAATGTGGTCCAGGCCGGACTAGGATCCTCGCCATGTCACAGGATAGCATTGTTCAGATCATCTCACCAGTTAGTGGAGAGATGCTCCTTCTTTCCTGGCCGTTCCTCCTGCTAGAACGTGCATTGGCCTTTGCCTACAACCCTGGCCAAGAGAATCTTCTCGTGGCCTTTGGCACACCAGAAGTTCTGGTGCTGGACACGAGTCTATGTCCCTGTCCAGCCAAGGGAATCCTGTGTGTTTCTAAACATCATGACCAGGATGAAAGCGTGATGTCCTTGGAAGTGGTTATGATGGCTGGGGCTGACAACAGGCCTCCACCTTGTCTGGTTTTCAGTGGTCATCGCAATGGAAAGCTCCAGCTTCTGTCAGCTCCACCCAGATTCCACTGCCAAGCAAGGAAAGCCCATCAAGGTGCAGTTCTTCAGATTAGCAGCCTACCTGGTCCAAAAGCCCAGCTGTGCTGCTGTGGAGAAGATGAGCAGCTATCTGTGTGGAGTGTGGAGGTCAGGGTGGAGCGAGTTGAGTTAGCCCTCATCATTCGGATTAGCCCACACTCAAGGCTAATGCTAACAAAGCTAATGCCAGGCCTAATTTTTGCAGTATCTCCAGGTTATAGTCTTCTGCTTTACTCCTTGGTGGATGACAAGCGCTTAGCAATGGAGAGGAACCCACCCACTGCCATAACTTGCATGGACTACTGTGCAGCCCTTGGGCTAGTTGCAGTTTCAGGCCCTGCAGGAATTGTGGAAGTGTGGGACAATCGTGGCATCCAGCTGGCTGAGGTACGGCTGGGTGCACCTGTAAGCCAGGTATGTTTCGCCAACGCTCGTGGGGATCTCCTCGCCTGCTTCAGTGGCAGCATCTCCATCATCGCAGGTGTGCGATATCTTCCAGTTAGTTTGCTAAAGCAGGTGCTGGTCCAGGCCCCTCCTGATGATCTCCTAGAAGATCCTGTCCCGTTTTTGCCACGCTTGTCCAGCTCCTACGACTTGGGTGTCGTGCCGAAGGTCTTGCTGAAGCCTGGAGAGGCAGCGCCAGAGCTGGAAATAGCTCACTCTCCCAGCACTGTAAAAACCATTCCTGAGCCAGATTTGGACACGTGCAGAGGGTCTTCAGAGAGAACTGGCACAACACCAAAGAGAGAACGACGAGGTGAGCTCAGATAAAAACAACATCCAAAAAAGCAAATGTACACAGTTTTCCCCTTAACCCAAGTTTAGTTGATCACTTGGACGAACATACCTAAAAACATAACCAGTGGTCATCTTGAACACTGAATTTAGTCTGTACAGAGATGAGTATGTCCTACAGTGTCAGAAACCACATAATCAAGTCTGTGGTTTGAAAATGTGTGATGACTGATGCTAATTAGAATAATTGGAAATCATGAATTTCTGTGGCCCATTCAGATTCAGGTTTCTTTACAGCCAAATTGGCTGATGTCATAAAAAATAGAAGAAAAATGTATGTACATATATTTGATCATGTTAAAGTATGTGCAATATGTGTGATGTTTTAATGTGTGCAAAATATATGTAACTGTGCCATTTTGAATGTGTTTAGTTATACAGACAGTTATGTAGATAGTTATACATTCATATATATATATATATATATATATATATATATGTATGTATATATATACATGTGTGTGTGTGTACATGTGTATTTATATAAATATATACATATGTAAGTATATATATGTAAATATATGTCTACACATATACACATATACACTTGCGTATACATATGTCTGAAAAAAATATTCTTTTACATTAACTTTTAAAAACATTTAAGATCTCCTTTAAAGTACACATATAAAATACCTTTTGGAGAGACTATGTTTTGCATTATAACACAAATGGAAATAAATTTTAAAATTTACATACATTTTGAAAAATTTCTTGTTACTGAAAAAAACCAAGAAACAAAAAATAAGCATCCCCATTTTTTATTTTCATCACATCATTCCACAGCCCTTTACATTGTGTGAATTTGTATTAAAATAAAAAATCTAAATTACTATAAAATCACTTGGAATAAATTCTATTAACTGTAACTTACATTAAAAGTACAGAAAGTTTTTGCAACTACATGCAAATATTTGTGCTTTGCATAAATACTTTTTATTAGCCTTTTTTTTTACCTGATACTTCCACTGTATCAGCTCAATGAACGTGTGAAACAAACTAGACCATAGCACCTATTATGTAAAATCAAATTATTATTATTATTTTTTTAATAAAAGACTTTAATGCTGTATTCACTCCCAAGTACATACAGTCCATATTGAAGCTAAGTTACAAAAATAGCCTGTTTAGAATGTATTGTTTTTGTGATGTCACAAAACCCAGCATATTTACACATATCCACCTGTTCAGTGGCCCATTTATTAGTTATGAAGTGTGTTTGAGCCTAGACTGCTTTTTGAATAACACTCGTTTAGGTAAGTGACTCAAATCTGTCATTAATGTGGACGAACTGTCATCCTGAAATGACTGGCATGAGCACATCCTACTCAGTAACATCACATGAATGAATCATATGCGTCATAAACTGAAACTAATGAGCAGAACGAGCTTCACTGAGAAGATAATTAACTCTGATCAGCTCTCAGTTCATTATTAGAGCGAGATGAAGGAGAAAAAGGTGAGATGTGTATTTTTTCTATTGTTTACAGGCTTTAACTTCTGTTCGGCGCTGCTGCCATGGTAACACTGAATGATGGCGCACGCACAATGAGAAAAATCCGATCTGAGCGTCACATTAAGGTCGCATGGCCATGAATCGGATACGTATCCGATCTAAAACCACATATGAAAGTGGCTCAGGTTGGATTTGAAAAGATCAGATTTGTGTGTCCACACAGCCCTGAAAACATCAGATCTGAGTCACATTAGGACAACAAATCAGATTTGTGTCACTTCAACCCGGCAATGTGAACGTAGCCAAAGACATGTTGTAAGTGGACCTTAGAGGAAAAGAATAAAATACAAGTCAAATGAGGGCCCTATTGTGATTATCATGGAGTTCGCGTATTGTTTTTACCTTTGTTTTAGGGTCGCAGTATTTTACTTCACCAGCTGTCAAGAAGCTGTCTAAGCAAGAAGAGCAGATCACTACAACGGAAAAAACAGAGCCAGAAAGTCTTGAGAGGGGCCAGCTTGAAATGTCTCAACAGCAACTAGATGTGGAGCCAGTCGCCCTTGGCTGGCCAGTAGCACCAGATGGTTTTATCCCCAACTCTGTGATTAGAAACTGGGGTCAAAACCAAGAGCAACAAGTACCAGAGAAGTCAACCGAGGCTAAAGCTCTCCAGGGGGTGTCTATGGATAAGCACCTAGACGAACGTGTTAAAGTCACCAAAGTCCGAGCTCAAAGGATTTCAAAGCCGGTAACAGTGAAGGAACTCTCTGGAAACATTGAGGTTTTCACTGAGCCTGAACTGGAGGAAGAAGACTTCTTCAAAAAATCTTTAAAAGAGGATCTTTTAAAAAAGATAGCTCAAAGCCAGTGGCTGGCCAAAAAGCCTAAGACTGGTGAATTAGATTCAGTCATGAGGGCAGTGATGTTGAGCATGGATTGCGTGGATCCTCGTGTTTATATCAGCTGTGCAGAGGCATTATATAGCCTCCGTGAGGCCTATGGCATCCCTCCAGAAATTAAGAAGGAGCTCACTCTCAATCTGGTTAGAGACTTCCAGAAAGGCAATCCGAACTGGAAGCGGCTGGACGCGCTGAAGACCCTGCTTCAGATGGATCTCTTGCTGGAAAAAGACTTGTTTGCAGTAGCTGAGGCCCTTACTGATGAAGGACAAGATCTGCGGCAATTAGCACGTGACGCTGTGGCACAGGTCTACAGTATCAACACCAAGGAAACTCTACTAGCCCGTCTACATCACACTGAGGTTGGGCCTACAAGGCAAGTGGAAACCTGCACTGTTATTGCACATTCAGGGCTTTTTTTACTCCAAAAAAGTAGCCAAGACATGTTTGGTATCTAAAGTTTGCTTCTTTAGCACACTGGAGCTACAAGGCCATTGTAGCTAACAAGTAATGCAAGTAGTAATGTACTTCAATTAGCACCAGGCTAAAATCATCAGACACCTGCCTCAAACCATGTCGAGTCATTAAGTAATCCCAAATAGACTTGCTTGTGTGTTTTCTGGCACCACAGTCTCAACCTCAGATGCTCCATCTGAACATACACAGAGGATCTGATAGCTATTGCATGCTAAGCTGGCCACAACTACCTTTTTGTCCTTTCCATTCTCATTGGCTGTCCACACATCCATGTGTGCGGACTTCCATGAACTCATTTTTAATCTTTTATTCTGTCACACAGGACACATTTTGAAATTTTGCAAGAACTTTTGGCACAAGATATGATCACTGGACACTGTATCCTTGCTTTCTAAATGCGTTTTACTTTGTTTCATGTGGGTGTTTTTGCTTTTGTGGGCCTATTTTAACTTTGAGCATATTTTAAAATGGGCTCAATCTTACTTTTTTTTTTACACTGGCTTCCTGTTAAGTTTCACATCATCTACAAGATCTTGCCTATGACAAGTTCTTCTTGGCTTAGCTCTGTTATATCTTACTGATCTGCTAAACTGTTATAGCTCCGCTTTGCTCAGCAGGCTGCTTGTCTCAGCTGAAGCAGGCTTGCTGTAAACTCCTAGGACCACTTACAGCTCTGTTGATTGGCGTAGAGTAAGACACAGGAGAGGCCATGATTTCCACCACAAGAAGTGCTCTTTATTAAACACCAGAGCAGAAAAGCACATACAAAATACTAAACTTACAGGGAAGGTCACCACTAGCCATATACACTTCACCCTGACGGTGGCCACCAACCCACACTAAATAAACCCACTCTCTAACACAGAACAACACAAATAACACATAAACACACACTTTAACTCACATACAACAACATAAACAACATTTAATTCTCTTTTCCAGACAACATGCACCTTCTCATGAGTCTTGGCCATGCCTCACGAGTGTTAGAGGCCATCTCCAGCCAGTGTCAGGTCGCTACAATATAGCTCTGTAATAGCAATCCAGAGAATATTTGGAATACGAGGTGTTTTTAAATCCAGTTTAACCCTTGTGTGGTGTTGGGGTCTGTGGGACCCTATATTAATGTTCACCAAAAGAAAAAAATGATGCGATTTATTATTACTTCAACCTCATAATCCTTGGTCTTTGCTCATTTTCTGTGAAGAACATATAAAATAACACCTTTTCAATGACTCCACACTGTTCACCTCTTACACATTTATATTACACATGTGGTGTTGGGTGAACCTGCGGGGAATAAAAGTGTGGAGGTGCTGTGTCCTTCACTCTGTTCTCCTCCTACATGGCCGGCTGTTAGTGTGTGTGTGTATGTGTGTTTGTATGTGTGTGTGTGTGTCAGGGTGGACAACATAGACAGGCTGCTGACTGGCTACAGCTGCTAAAGGAGAACCCTACGCTGGCCACTTGTAATATTTTAAACATCTGGTATTTTTATATAAATTGTTATGGCTGTATTGATTTGAATAATGTTTTGAAAAAAAAAACATTAATGTGGTGGGTCCACCAGACCACTGAGTAACAAACACTTTAACACCCCACAAGGGTTAAACAGCATATTTGTTCATATTAGCATATGGCTTGTTATATCTTGTTATTTTTCACTTTCCAAAGTTTGACTTTTATTCCCTTGTGAAGTATTTTGAGATTTTGTACATTCGTTCAATTTCTAAGCCGCTTATCCTCTGGGGTCACAGGGGTGCTGGAGCCTATCCCAGTGTTCAGTAGGTGGCAGACAGGAAACAGCCTGGACAGGCCGCCAGTCCACCGCAGGGCAGACACACAGACATTCACATTCACACCTAGGGGCAATTTAGCGTGTCTAATTGGCCTGACTGCATGTCTTTGGACTGTGGGAGGAAACCCATGCAGACACGGGGAGAACATGTAAACTCCACACAGAAAGGACCCTGGTCACCCCGGGCCAGGCAATCAAACACAGGCCCTTCTTTCTACGAGGCGACAGTGCTAGCCACTGCTCCACCTTGCCGCCCAGATTTTGTACATAAAATATATAAATAAATTTGTTTATTTATGTCTTTTTATTATATTATTATTGTCATTAGTCACCTACTGTTACATGTGACACAAAAGCAATAGCCTGTGGTAGGTTCCTGTCAAAGCAGGTGGATGTTGAGTGAAAAAACATACCAGACTCTTTGACGACATGCAGAAATTTGACTTGTGAGACTGATAACACTTCGATATACTGTTATCTAGAAAAAGGGCAAATGCAGACAAAATTCAAACTGGCTGTTACTACTATTTTTATCTATGCAATGTACTTTTCTCCATTATTATAAATGTCAGACAGTGTCAGAAGCCACATAAGCAAGTCTATTTTGGATTACATAACAACTCAACATGTCTTGAGGCATGCAGTTAACTGGGTAAATTAGATTTTCTACCATTTATTTAAAATGTTTTTCATTTTTTTCAACTCTTCATTGAGAAAGCATGATGAGCTTTTAATACGTAAACTGACAGGTTGATTTGTTTAATCTTTTGCTTTCTTTCTTACTTTACTTATGCATAGTATACACCACTGCTTGTAAACTGGGTGTTGTTTGACAGATCTTTTGATCCTTATTGAGTGACAGGTCTTGTTAACACCTCAGCATCATTAAAAAGATCTAAAAATAAATACGGAGCTTGGTTTGCTGTCACTCGCTGCCTTATGCAGTTAAGTCGGATTTATTAGACTGTCAGACAGTGTTTTGTGAGTTTATGTTAATAGTAATATGTTAATAACTGAGCATGTGGGAATGTATCATCATCTGAGTCCTGTCAAGCCATCTGCTTCACCACTGAAGTGGATGAAAGGTCAGTTAAGGCAGCACTTACCGTCCATTTCAGCTTTCAGTGCTGATGACTTTACTATTGAACTCCAGGCAGGAACTTTTAAAATGTCTGGACACACAGCTGAGTGAGGACCTCCAGCTGCAGCAGAGCTTTTCAGCAGAAAGTCCAAAACCGATTAAAAGACTGACCAGGCCCTACAGCCAGAGGGTGTCCACTTCAGATAATGGTAAAAATGACGGTGGTAAGTAATTTCAGCGTAATCACAATTATTTGACAAATAATTTCTTATTTACTGCACATGATTTTATTAGAAATAGCAGCTCTGCCTGATTGACACGTTCATATTATAAATAGATTAATTATGATAGAGATATTTAGTACATTATCCACATTTGCTTTGTACTGCAATCCCCTGTACAGTATGTGGCTGCTTACTTGTATGTTATTGTCATTGTAACAGCTCTCATCAGGTGAATTCTACCAAGACTCTGTGTTTCATTTCATGTTCTCTGTAGAGTCTCGTGTGGCTGACAGCCCTCAGTATGACGTCATGTCTGTTGATAGACGAGGTAAGTTTACCAGGCGTCATTTACATTTCACCATTCATTTCACAAACACACAGTACATGAACAAAGACAGTCCCCCTGCAGGCCCCCTAGTGGCCACTGGAAATGGGCTGATATTTTTAATTAATATAATTAAATATTATTTCCCCCAAATATTAACTAGGGCCCTGTTGATTCTCTGTGTGTGAAATGTTGTGACTCTTAAGCTATTGAGCTGCTAATGAGCAATAAGGGGTGGGGGGGGGTGAGACCCCCTGCTATGAAATCAATTCACTTCTCTTCACAAAGACAGTCTTGCTGAGATAAAACAGACAGCATAACTGCAGCTTTTGTAAATCATATTTCTATCTAAATACCTTCCAATATACCATTTTCATCTAAATCTACTCCATAAATGTTACTTGGGAGCACCAAAACAGGTGGAAACTGCATTTTATGGCCACTGTGAAAAGAGGTTAAGCACTGCATCCATACATTCTCTTATGGGAACAGTAGCCATTATAGACAAAATACTGTATTTCATGTTAACCTAATCTCCATCCTTATGGCTGCTGGAGCCTAAAAAAATTAAATTCCTATTTTAATCTGATTTATGCCTGATTTATTATAAAAGATTGGATTGATTATTAAAGGAGTCGAGTAAACATTTTCACTGTAAACAATCATGATATTCATTGTAACTTAGAGCAGCACTACGCAAGTTTTTTTTTGTTAAAATTGAAATAAGTAGCATTATGGAGTCAAAACATGCTAATGTGTGCTGTGCATGCATTACTGTAAGTCACCCTGTAAATCCTTAAATAATAATTTAAAAGTCAGAGGCGTCGGGTTGGGAGTTTTTCACACCACATCATACATCTTTATGTGTTAATGTCACACGTACAGACTCAGAAAGACAGTCTGGCTTGATGTTCAGGTCTCAAACACAGAATCAACATTATACTGATGAAGATATGATGACAATTGCTGATAATTCACTCACTGAGTCCTGTTTGAATTCTCTTTCAATGCGCTCGCAATCATCAGGTTCATCTACTCGGGAAGGGGTCCGAAGCACAACCCACATTACAAAATGTTCTTCTGCATGTTGTGTGCAGTTACACATTTTTACCAGAGATCTCTGAATCTCACATAGTGTAAATTTATGCTAATTATTATGCTTGTTTTTTGCTTATTTAGCCACCATAATGACACTTTTTTAAATTTTGTATGGAAAAATAACACTTTAAACCCTTTAAATGGCCATGGGCCCACCGGTGGTCCCAAAGTTTTATTACACACTTCTATAGCTTAAGAAAAGCTCAGGCAGTTTGCACTGAAGTTCCTGTAGTTACTAAATAATCAGCCTTAGTATGTAATAAGCCTGGGGTTTTAAGGGGTCAAAGAAATAGTAAGCAAGTGCTTTTAAAGTAAATGCTGATGACTTTTTGTATCAACAGAGAGGATTACGTCATCTGTCTTTAAGAGCCATCATCCATCTCAGCCAGCTCAACCTCCTGATGATGTCAGAAGCATTAACCCTCCAACCAAGCCTGTCAAACCTCCTCATCGTGCTAGGAAGAAGTACGGAAAGTTCTCCGTGTTGCATCCTGTCAGGGAGATGATTACGCTAATGCCAGAGTCTTCCACTAAAGGCCTGGTTGACCCAGTCGTCATGACCCTTTATAAGAAGTTCAGGGCCCAGCGTCTGGACTACGGCCCAGTCATCCCACCACATCCACCTCCATCCACCCTTCTTCCCTCCGACTCAGGTGTGTTTTCTGACAGCAGACGCTCATCCAGCCTGGTGCAGCTGCCCCCTGCCGCTCGGCCTAAACTTCTCCACTTAGAGCCCGTCAAAGGCCAAGGAGATCCAAATTGGAGGGACAATCTGTATCAGCTCACCTCTATATATGGTTTCCGCTCTCAAAAAGCAAGTAAACTGGCCACTCTGGTCAAAGTTCATGAGCCTGAGTCTAGGCCAGATTGTCCATCTTTCAAACTCCCACCGATTCACTCCAGCCTGCTGTCTTTGGGCCAAAGAGTGGTGGAGAAAGTTCAAGTAAAAGAAACTGGCGCTTCACAGTTCCATCAAGTCATGCCACTTCCCTGGCAGCTCAATATCCACACACTGGACATTGCTGGAGAGAGCCAGTATGGCAGACTGAATATAGACTGGAGGGCGAGGCCCTTGGACAGCCCTGGAGTGAAGCTGCCACCCATCAGATCCAAAAATAACTCCACCTCTGGTGCCACAAGGGGGCAGTGTTAGCTGAGGTTTCATTTCTTTTTTGCCACACATTTTTGCTATTGATATGTGTAAATGGTCAACTTTCACCTGACTGTAGCAATAAAGGTTATATTGTAATGGCTGGTTAATTTCTTACTGAATAGTTCTTGTTGAATAGGCAGCTATGTTTGATGTGCACTGGAGGGAAAGGCAAAATAATGTTATATAAGAAATTAATGATGTACTAAAACATAATTTCTAATTGAATAAAATATACGACATCAGTACAATATTTTGCCAAAAGTATGTAAACTGAAAGACAACAATGGGTTAATTTGCTTTATTCATGAGAGAATTTATGCCAAAATCAATCATGTATTCACCGCATCACATTTTTAATGAAGTATAATGCTCAGTACTGTCACTGGGTTCTGTATGCGTGTGTATATGTTCCAGTGGAACTGCATCATCAATGCATTTTTAAAGGTGTATCCTACATTGTTCTTGTATTTCATTTTTTCTTATTTAAATTTTTTTGTCCTAATTCATTTTTACACAACCATTTTTCCAGCCTCTCTTTATTCCTTACAATTAAACAAGTTGTTTTAGTGACTGTGCCTTCATGACTGATACATGTAAATGACCTTTGGTTGCCATTCAAACAGCAGTGTGGGCAGAGACACTAAACAGAAACAATGAATTCAAATTGGCAGTTGTTGCAGCTTTGTTTAAATATATGTATGGTACTGACTGGGGAATGAATGGTATGTTTTTCATGATATGGGCCCTTTAAGGCTGATTATATTTGAACCAACGCCTAAGTCAACATCCGTCAGACAGCTTTAATAGACTGACAGAGATGAGCTGTTCTCAAACACAAGGATGCAAATACTTGTTCTCATACAGAGTGATGCTCACTGGGCAAATATAAGATTACAAATACATGATATAGCCCAAATCAGTCTACATAATTAAGTGCATATAACCATGACACTAAAAAGATGCAAGTCCAAATAAAGACATTGTGGGATCCTAAAGGCCCAAACTGCATTCACCCCATCATTAGTTACAGTACGAAAACTCATAAGGTACGAAACCGTCACTGGGGTGGAACCCTCAAGGGTCCATCTCAGTACCTTCAGTCAGGGAACATAACTGTACCATAATCCATTGAAATGATATTTTCTAAGCTGTACTGACTCCACACACCCCGTCTCGTCTCCAGGTTTTTATTTTACTGTTCTGTTTTAAATCATTCGGTTATGAAAAGGTACAAATACAAACTTTTCACCAGGAAAAACTTATTTAAGATTCACAATCAGACCTTAAAACCACTGTTGTACCTTCGAGGGAACATTTACATTGTTTGTACCTTGATGAATGAAAAATGGACCTGAACAGAACCTTTATTTCTAATATTGTATGTTGCAGGTATTGACAAATCGACGCATATTCATACCTCTGAACTTGTTTTCCTTTAACAATATTTTCTTTAACCAGTTATTTGAATTTATTTGGTACAATGATACTAAAATGCTTTTGATGATAAATAAGTGAAAAAAATGATAAATAAATGTGTAAGCAGAAGCCTGATACGCAGTGATAGACCTAATGTTAGGTTCATTAATTAACACTGATTTCTTAAAACACTTTTATTACTTGCAAAGCCTAGTTTTACGTCGATTGCATCAGGACATAGAGACTTAGACTGGACAGTTTGTTTATTATTTTACTTTATTTTTTTTCAACCTGGGCCAATATCTTTTGGTCAAAAACTGTTGTTCTGTTTTTTTTCCCCAATTCACAATATACTCATAATAGTGCAAAAATAAACTATTCTTCTTCTTCTTCTTCTTCTTCTTCTTATTATTATTATTATTATTATTATTATTATTATCATTATGTAGTCTCCACCGCACCATGGCTACATAGAGAGAGAGGACAGACAAAATCAGTATTTTTAAAATATCAGTATCGGTATTTGTACATTAAAATAAAATGAGCAGTATCGCTCAGCCCTTCAGCGCAGTAAACTACAATACCCATAATGCCCTCGCACCATCCACCCCCTCTTCAGTTCAGCCGGTGTATTTGGATACAAAATCAGCCGTAGGAGCTGACAGTCCGCTCTATGGAGGCGGAATAGACGGGAACTGACAGAAGGAGAGAGAGAAAACGGAAAGAAAAAGAAAACGTTTCGCTTGGGCTGGACTGCGGCGACGCTTTTGTGAGAGGAATCGACCCGTTTTGGTTGGAAATATTGCGACGCAACCTGAACGCCCATGAGCCGAGAGAGAGGAGCGCTGTGATGGACAGAGCGAGAGAGAGAGAGAGGAAGAGAGAGAGAGGGAGCGATGCAGGAATATTTCAGTGTGAATAGGCTGATGGGTATTTAAAGCTGAAAACACTGAGCCTCATGGATCTACTGTTTTTCGTCTGTGGATTATAATAAAATAGGGTTCCAAGCAGGAGTAGGTTATCTATTATTATTATTATTATTATTATTATTATTATTATTATTATTATGGTGGTGATGTGGAAGATGATGAAGATGGTGGATGCATCCCCAACAAGCTCCATCAGCGTCAGCAGCATCGTATCAGGAAGGATTTCATCGTCTATTTTCCACAGCACCGTCTAACCGTGACCTTTCCACAGAGCCATCAGAAGCGAGCTCCTTTCAGAAAAGCCCCTTATTTCCAGCAGCGGGCTCAAAGTGGCCTGTTGTTTGCACCTACACTGAGAGCTGCAGCCTAAATAACACAGGACTGTATGGGGGCAGTGAGGATCCAGGCATGGGGTTGCTAAAGCAGGGCCAGCCCAGGATCCCTGTAGCCATGCAGTGTATATTCAGGATAAATAAGGTAGGCTAGTGTGGCTGTGGGCAGCTGCCATCATGTTTTGTTGACCTGAATTTATGTGCAGGAGAAGGTGGATGAATTTGTTGCTCTTTGTGGTTGGATTAGCTTGGAGTGGCCAACACTGGCTGTGTATTTCTATCAAATCCTAAAATCCCATGCTCGGTTATTGGGGCTGGTAGCTCTTGGTTGTCTAAAAATGGACACACAGTTTCCTCAATGCTAGCCTAGACTGGTGAGGATGTGCGGGATTCAAGCGTGGAAGCCATAGGGCTAGAAGAGATAGAGCGAGAGGTTTGATATTAAGGATTGTTTTTGGCCCTAGGCTTCCTCCAAGTCATCACCACCATGTTTTATATCTGGATGGCTTGGTTTGTAGAGGTAAGCATACTTGTATGGAGATGAACTGAAGTCAATGCTGTACTGTCATGTTTATTAATGAGCTTATTCTCTTTTATTGGGCTTTAAGTGTGCATGTAATGAGAGATCATGCATTTTTAAGGAAACGTGAAAGCAGCAGAGACCCATATGTATATATAACAGAATAGAAGAGGCGCAGATATCATGAATCAGGCCAAGTGCCCTGCAGGCTCTGTGATGACAGTCTGATTCCGAAACTGGGAGCATTCCAGTGGAGAGAACGAGGAGAATTCCAGTGGAGAAAACTTTTCTTTTGCAGCCTTGGTGCTGTATAAAGCACCGGAACTGCTTAAGTCTTCTTGGCCATTTATAATATTACAAGCCATTAAAGCCATATTCAAGAACAAACTTAAGCTTTCAGCTGCTTATTGACTTTTTCTGAGCATGCACGTTCTTTTGAGCCACCCGTTTGAAAGTGCCTTTATAAATGCCAATATGCAGAGAAAGCGGCCCTAATAAAACGGACCATTCAGCCAATGAGAGTGGTGCAGCTTTGCCCTTTGATTTCCCCATTCTGGTCAAGAAGTCCTGAATTTGGTCCATGCGTTCTGCATGGATTTTGTGCATGAGTTGACTGAGGGCCTCCCCCAGCTATTGAGACCGCACCGCTGACCTGCGGCCTCAGAGATGGACCCGTATTCGAGACTGAGTAGCATGGGTGGTGGAGGCCATGGAAATGCCACCCTGCTGCCCTGCACCAACTGCGGGGGCTCCTGTGGCCCACCGCCCCCCTCCATCCTCCTACCAAACGCCACTCAGGAGAACGGCAGCAGCTGGAACTCCTCCACGCTCTCCTCCTCGGTCAGCTCGCCCGATTCTCATGCCCAGCATCATCATCGCGGAGACTCCAATCACTACTGGACAGCTGTATTTGACTATGAGGCGGCAGCGGATGAGGAACTGACCCTGCGGCGTGGCGACCTGCTGGAGGTGCTCTCCAAAGACTCCAAGGTAGGGATGCACCGATATGGAACTTCCGGGCTGATGGACGATAATTAATGTTTTGTGGCCGATACTGATACAAATAATTAACGGTTTGTTACAAAATCGTTCAATAATAAAATAAACATTGGTAAATTGTCTGCTATTTTTAAAACTGATATTGCTGCACTTGCAACTGCTTTTGTTTTCTTGCTGCCCAGTTTAGATAAGCAGCATTAATAGTTCTTATTACGTTTCTGTGCTGAAACCGTGCAGCAGATGTTTAGCAGTTATTGGTATTTACCGGCTTGTATTTCCAATATTAGATGGATAGTAAAAATTACATCTTATTATTACATTTTACCCTGTTCTAAGGTGTCCGGAGATGAGGGCTGGTGGACGGGAAAGATCCAGGACAAGGTGGGCATATTCCCCAGCAACTATGTTACGCGGCGGGAAACCACGCTGCCCCCTGGAGGCCTGCTGGTGGGCGGTGAGAGCCCGCTGGAGATAGACTTTATGGAGCTGTGTCTGGAGGAGGTGATAGGTGCTGGCGGATTCGGAAAAGTGTATAAAGGTGTGTGGAGGGATGAGGAGGTGGCGGTGAAAGCGGCCCGGCAGGATCCGGACGAAGACATCAGCGCCACTGCGGAGAGCGTGAGGCAAGAGGCGCGGCTTTTCTGGATGCTCCGGCACCCTAACATCATCGCCCTGCGCGGCGTCTGCCTGAAGGAGCCTAACCTGTGCCTGGTGATGGAATACGCCCGTGGGGGCGCACTGAACCGGGCACTGGCGGGGAAAAAGGTGCCCCCCAGAGTGCTGGTCAACTGGGCCGTGCAGATCGCTACTGGAATGGACTACCTGCACAACCAGACCTTTGTGCCGGTCATCCACAGAGACCTGAAGTCCAGTAACAGTGAGTACTACTTTTGAGCTTTATTTAGGTTTTGTATTGATGATGTGTTCAGCACAGAAAAGCCAACTGTGCAGATCGTCCATCGTACTCTCAGCAAAAACAGTAATGTGTAGTACCAATAAAGGTTATTTGACTGGAACACAAGTGGAACACTTGGTGCTACATAGATCTGTCTGTCTATCTATCTATTCACCCACCCATCCATCCATCTATCTAGTTGCCACCATGTTTGTAAATTAGATGTGTGAGTGTGAAGAACTAGATCTATCTATCTATCTATCTATCTATCTATCTATCTGTCTATCTATCTATCTATCTGTCTGTCTGTCTGTCTATCTGTCTATGTTGTTCTATTGTGTTTTTATTCTGTTGTGTTTTTACTGTGGCACTGTTTTAGCCTATGATATTTTTAATATCACCATTGCCCTGTAAGATTTTGTGCAACGCTTTCCCCAAAATTTGTTAAATTGAATGTGCCATTCAATATCGAATGTCCCAGCACACCTGAACTCTGCCATTAACCCTTGTGTGGTGTTCTGTGGGACCCATTTTCAATGTTCACCAAAAGAAAAATGTTCGATTTATTATTGTTTCACTTCAGATTCTTGGCCTTTGCTCATTTTTTGTGAAGAACATCACACTCTGTTCTCCTCCTACATGGCCTGCTGTTAGTGTGTGTGTGTGTCTGTGTGTGTATGTGTTTGTATATGTGTGTGTGTGTCAGGGTGAATAACATGGACAGGCTCCTGACTGGCTACAGCTGCTAAAGGAGAACCCTACACTGACCCTTTGTAATATGTTAAAAATGTGGTATTTTTACATAAATTGTTATGGCTGTATTGATTTAAAAAAAAAAAACAATAATGCGGTGGGTCCACCAGACCACTGAGTAACAAACACATCAACACCACACAAAGGTTAAGAATACAGAATAGCTGTTACAGGTGTACAAGGAGCTGGGTTAAACTAAAAATGTGGACTGTCTGGTGGACAAGATAGTCTAACACACTAGTTCCCAATCCTGGCCACCCTGATCTAACTACTCAGGGCTCTCCTTAATTGGTAGCGAGGGTGGTCACCGTGATGCTCCCTCTTCCATTTAAGAATCATCTTTGTGTTACGGTGCTTTTGGGAAACCCAGCCCAGCTCTTTAACAAGCCCTCCCTGAGCTGAAGTGGGCTCACTGTTTGTTCTGTTGGGATGTGTTCTGGACATGCAATATTTAAACAATATAAACAGTCTAGATTCACCTGCCCTGTGGAAGTGTTATAACGCATCAGTCCCTTTGCGCTGCCATGAACACAGGTGTTTTGATTAATTCACATGGGGTACGTGCAGGTTGCAGTGCGCTGTGGGACAGTTTATTTCTGGACAGTGTGCAGGCAGAATGCACTGACTGAAATATGGGCATTTTAGGGTTAATCCTTTCTGAGAAATAAATTGCACACTCGGACACTTCTAAGGAAGTGGCTTTAGCCTACATGTCCTGCATGTGACGTGAATATTTCCCTCCACTCTCTTCACCAGTGCCTCACCGCTTAAGGGGAATGTCTGCGTACAATGCAGGATTCAAACCAACCTGTCAATGATAAAATCATGGATTTCAAATCATTTCTTTGGTTGTACTTGCCCTGCGATGGACTGGCCACCTGTCCAGGGTGTATCCTGCCTTCCGCCCAATGACAGCTGGGATAGGCTCCAGCATTCCACCATGACCCAGAAGGATAAGCGGTTTAGATGATGTGTGTGTGTGTGTGTGTGTGTGTGTGTGTGTGTGTGTGTGTGGTTGTACTTCCATTAACTTATTTCTATAAGTGAGTGACTTGAATTAAACATTTCTATGAGGTGTAATAGACTAATTAAACTGTTTACTTGTTTACTGTCTATTTATGAAGGCATGGCACGCATTGGCACTCAAATAGGCTATTTTTTAACTCTACTAATGAAACAGTACTTGCCTAAAAATAAGCAGATTACACTTTAGAAACTAGAGGGTTGTGGCAGCAGAATGTTGCCTATGGTAAATGCTAAATTTAAATGCTAAATTCTAATTCTAGTGAATTTTCTACCTGCTTGAGAGACGTAATGACCACAATTAATGTAATTGTGTTCTTGGTCATTTTATGCCACTCCTAAGCCTCTAATTTAGCCACTAAGCTACCTTGCTTGCTAGATAGCTTAATATATTGGCTGACATTAATGATATACTGCACTGTTCTGCACTCAGATCTCTACACAGACTCGTGTAGAGTCATGCAATGCTTATACGTTTCTCTGTTGAATGTGAAAACGGGAGCAAAAACAGTTCTAAAATTAGCAATTGACGCATGAACAAACCATTCTAGTTTACATATTGGTCATATGACAGTGCTCAGTAACTTTATCTTCACATGGAGGAGTAAAGAATTTGCTAAATGGTTTTTAGCTTAAGCTGTAAGTGTTACCACACAGAGGAGAACACTCAGTTAAATTGAGTACCTTTATTTTTCTGTTGGTACCAATCCTAAAAAAGGGGAATTCCACTGATTTTGCAAAATTTCTACATAAATCAACCTTTAAGGGTCATTCAGAGTAGTCTGTGGAATGGGTTATTGTAGAAGAACTTACTGACTCAACACATGAACTTGTTTCTTTTGAATTATTTCTGAGTTCTTCTTCTGGGGTTTTATGTGTAACGTTTATTGGAAGAGTAGTGGTTAATATGAAAAAAAAAGATTTTCTTTTTTCTTTCATTTTTCATTTACCAATCTACCAGGAATGTTTTAAAAAATACCCAGACAGCGAGTATATATCGGACCCCTGGCTAGTCAAGGTCAGCACCCTGCTGACTGTTTGCCACTTCTGGTCCACCCTTGGACCACACAGATTATTGTCCAGCATACAGGCACAGGCTCTACCCAGTTTTTAATCTCCTCAAACAGATTTTAAATGCATGGAGACTTTTATTTTGGAAAATAAACTAAGACAAAAATTACAAACAACTGAGAGAGAAAAAAATAATGATTAGGCCTAATATAAAATGATTTTTATAGAAAATGTTGTTGCTGACACTGAGCTCGATTAAAATAACTTACTGAACTGATTTACAAAGTATAACTAAAGAAAGGAAGGAAGGAAAAATAAGTAAATTGGACTATGAGGGGAAAATGAGTGGTGATAAGTGAAATTTTGTCTAATACTCTGCTTAAACACTGGTGGGCCGCCCAGAAAGCACTGAGCAAAACGCCAGTGGATCGCCAGCTTTGCCATCAGTGGGCCACTGTCCTCTTGCTATCAGGGTATATATGTTTTAGGCCAAGATCATATCAGACAATTATCATAAAACAATGTTTTAGAAAGATCAGCCAGTACTCATAACCAGTTCATGTAATAACTTTCTATGAGGGAGCTTTTACTTTTTAACCACTGCGGATGTCTGGTTCCCATCACAAACACTGTGAACAGTTCTGACTAAGTTTCTCTAGAATGGAGCTTTTTTTTAACATCAAACCACTCTGAATGACTTTACTACATCATATATATTTAATCATGCCGGAATCTTTAAAAATCAGTGGAATTCCCTTTTAAATACCACTAAGCATAAAGCTAGAACCTTCTGTACTGGACCGATGGCCAAGGGAAAGCACTGTATCCTCTAAAAGGGAACCATTTTTGTATCAGTTAGCTCAAACTGAGCCTATTGAAAGTATTCAGATGACGTCACAATCGTGCTGCAACTTCAAGTTCATTCTGCAGTGCTGTGGCTGTTTGTGATAAGGTAACAAAGCCATAACCGATCCAGCAAAGGCAGTCAAAATGTTTTAAAAATGTGTTTTTAAATTTGTAAAGCACATTATCCAGTGAATTTAGGTGTAATGACTTGATTTTATTTGATTTGTGGTTGTAGTACTGACAAGTGAAAGGTGTAATCTAAACGGCTGAGATTCTCCAGCTACGTTATTATTTTTGCATGCTAGCACACTAAATAGTATGCAAAAAACAGTGCATGTGCCATTAGAAGTGCACTCTTTTGTGTAGTAAATGAAGTACAGAAGTGTGTGGATTGGGATGTGATTTTAGATCAGCCAGTGAGACAGTTCTAGTGTTAGAAAATGTTATGGAAAATGAAGTAGCTTCACAGTAGGAACCAGATAATTCATAGTATTTACTACACAATAAGTATTAAAATTGGTAACTGAATGATGAGGAGTTGAAATCTAAGTGTGTGATGTTTGTTGTCAAAGTGTCTGCATGAAAAATATATGTGTGCACCTTAAAAAGCACCATAAATAGCAGCATTAAAAATACTTCACATACTTCAAATGGTCCATTTGGAGTCATTTCCAGCATGGACGGCATGAATAAACATGCGTTTGACACAGGTGCGCTGAGCACAGAGACAGGATCGGCTGATGGATGTTTGAAAGTGTCAGGAGGGGCTGAAGGAAGCGGCAGCCTTTTTATCTGCCTTAGAAAGTCTCACTTTTTCTCCTTCTTTCCGCTGTCATCCTCCTTTCATCCCGCTGCCTCCTCCTCTGCTCAAGGAGAGCAGTTCTGCTCTGTAACTCGCTGGGCTATTTTTGGTCCTTTGTGCTACTTGCTGTTTAAAGACGTAGTTGCAGTTGTTGGTGTGTTGGGCAGAGTGGAGGAAGCAGGAGAGTGTGCGGCGTGTGCATGTGTTGGTTGGGGGGGAAGGGAATGTGGAGCACTGGATGCTGAGTGCACTGGGTTTTCTCAGCTAAAGGAATGGTCCAGTCAATAATGCTAATGCTGCTAATAATGAATGGAAGCGAATGGCCACAAATTAGCATCGTGAAAATGACATTGTGCTAATGGGTGTCTGCTGGCTTACATTCACTGTCAGCAACATTAACGTGTACAGCTGAGCTATTCCTTTAACAGCAGCGCTCGAGAGTCACTGTCTGCTGCTCAGAAGCCACAGAGAAGATTTAGCAAAGTCCCCTAATCCCTGTCTTTGTCACGTCCGTGAAAACACACCCTGGCTAATTCCAGCAACGGGA